AGGGGGGGGGGGGTTCAAATTAAAAGGCCTTAATAGCCTATTACCATCACCTTAAGTTCAACTCTGTTTTTTTTTTTACAACATGAAACCAACTAAAGATTAATCACCAGATCAGTGTGGGAGCTTTTAAAAGCCATTCTGTGATTAATACACTGTAATTAGGACTGATGAGCTTGAGCTGCCTTCTACGATAGCAACACATAATACTATTCCAGTATCACTGGGACAAAACTGTGCTACTTTTGACAGTTTCCTTAATGACAAACCATTTCTGTAATGCATGACATCAGGTTTAGCCCTAAAGACAATAAACATAATGATTGTTGTTCCTAGTGGGGGTTTAAATTAGGTGTTTAAATGAAATGTGTTTAACAGGCTGCTGTCCCTACACACATGCTGCACAGATCCTGCAGCTGACCAGGGGGCCAGAGGACGAAGACAGTCCCCTGGGATGACCAAACCACCCTTTCTCAGACACCCATTTGTCGTAGCCAGCCCACAGCCTCCTCCTCCTTTTCCCTCCCGATGGATGACCCTGCAACCAGCAGGGGTCAGCTGCGCAGAAGGAGCCCCCCACACCCCAGCCCTCGGTCCGGAGCCGCAGCGTAAATCAGCGGCTGTTCATCGCGGGAACCCTGCCCTGCCCGGGGTCTCAGCCCAGCCTGGCACCATCTGTCCTAGGCCTCTGACGCAGAAGCAGCACTGCCAAGGTGGGTTCCCACTGACCTGCTGCACCCTCCAGGCCATATGGGCCAGACCTGGGGCTGGAGACAGATCCATCATACTGGAGTCTGGACATGGTAGAAGAGACTTGGTGTACATTTACTGTAAATTAACTCTGACAGAGCTGATACAGTGGACAGATAGTAAAGGTAGACAAATTAAAGCAAAGGTGGACAAATAATAAAGGCATTCCTTAATAAAATACAATCCATTACATTGACACCACAAATACGCCAACAGCAAGTTGTATTATCACCTTTTTGACAGTGTCTAAAAATAAACTGGTAAATGTAAGACAATATTAAGCTAAAGCTAATATTTAATGCAGTTATTTTATCAAATCACATTATTAGGTCCATTCATATGTGGGGGTGACATTGATGTAAAATTTTCAATAATTTACCAAAAAAAAACATAAATATCAATTTGTGCAGCAGAACTTTTATTTTATTTTATTTTATTCTCTCCCCTGTATATAAACAACAGTACAATGCTGCTGATATATATGATATATAATATTATGATATATATAATGATATATCTTCCACATGAGCAATTTTTTCTACAAGGCTGAGTACTTTTACTTATAATAGCTTAAGTACATTTTGCTAATGGTACTTCTACTTATGTAGGATTTTCAATGCGTATTGCTACATTGCTGTATTGGTACTTTTATTTAAGCAGTACTTCTTCCACGCTGGTTAGCCTAAAAAACTTGACATTTTAAATCAACCCTATATGTAAAACTACTGTCTCATTATGGACAAACAATTCTTAGTTTGGTGATGTACATACTTGTATCACCTTGTGTAAATGATACATTTTTTAAATGATGGATTTAAGTAATACATTCATAAATTGCCATTCTGCTGTGAAAACTACTACTTTTTCATTATGCTGAGACACCTGAGCAATGACATCTTAATAGACTGACATAGTGCATAACAACTTCACCTGCATGAGAAAGCAGTAACAAAGAGTACTAGAATGATCTAATCATGTAGAAGTACTGTTACATGACATAAGTAAGGTAACTGTGAAAGGGCCAGTGTGGCATCCTGACTATAACCTACCGATCATCACTCTAAAAGATGATCTCAAAAATAGTGATGATATTCTCAGACTTCCCTACGAGGTTCGAAAGCTTCTTGCTGATTAGCAGTAACTGCACTGCTGTAGGCTACTCTCAAATTCTTGCTCTTCTTGCCTACAGCAGTTGAGTAGATTACTTTGTCAACCTCTATTTACGTGAAAGCAGAATTACTGATCTTAGAATATACAAGAAACGAGAAGAAGCTAGTCAATTAGAGCACTTGCAATTCCACCTCCAGCCAAAAGAAGTCACAATCTATTAAGGTGACCTGACCGACCCTGTTATTTTGCTGTATAACTGCCAGAGACTAAATAGGTGATGTACTACTCACACATGTAAAACAGTCCAACCTTTAAGTGCAAGACAAGTCTCTGCACTCCACCTCATCACCCTTGACGACTTTTCCCTCTCGATCATAACAGCACCTGGAATTGTGACACGTAAATCTTATCGGCAGAGACAGTCTGCGAATCCCGGGGCTGTACAGCCCAGCTTATTGCTTTCTCCCACATCCCCGACCTTGCTTTTTGGCCCCTTAGGCCTGGCTCTAATGGCCGAGCAGGGGTCATAAAGTGGCTGTGTTACTGTTTTCCTTTTTCCAAACCAGTGACACCAGTTGTTCACCCTCCTCATCGGGGCCTTTTGTGAGGCCTGACAGGCTGTCAGTTCCAGGCGGAGGATGATTGTAGAAGACGACACGCATTACCTTGAGGTGACACCACATTCCACTGAAGGCCTGTCTTTATGAGCTAACAATAACTTTGAATAGCTTTGCAGCAAAGCATTTAAAGTTTGCTTCAGTTTGCTATGCTGTGTGATTGGTGTCATCCCTTTATTGTTTTGCTCTGGATATATCCCTTCAAAAAAAATATCTGAGGCAAATTCATCTTGCAGATTGATGATAATTGGGGTAAAGGATCTCACGGGCCTGATGAGTGATTTTTGGCCGTCATCAGGGTTGAGGGTAGGACAAGAAGACCTTCGCAGTGACACATACAACCCCAAGACAAAAATAGACGCCCACCCACACACCCACACACACAGTAAAGAGTGTGTCAGAGCGCAAACTACTGAACATTTTGTACTTTTGTCCTGATTTATTCAACCAATCACTGTAAAGCTGAAATAATAATCATCTAATAAATAAAACTGAGCAATCATTTACAGAATCATAGGATAATTGTATCAAAGATCTTTGTTGTCGATAATTACAGAGACTAAAATGTTGTGATTTTGTGTCTTGCGTGTTGTTAGCTAAAACATTTCATATTGGATTTTCATTTAATTAAATTATTTTGAGTTAATTAAATATATTGGGTGGTTCAGTTGTGGGATTACGTCTGTCATTTTATCACCAGTTTATGTTTTAAGTCAGACTACATGTGTAGTCATAAGGAGAAAATGAAAAATGACTGGAAAATTGATGTTTGACTTAAAGGAGAATAATGAAGACATCCTGTTTTCATCAGCCCACTTGCCAAATTCAGTTTGTCATATACTTTGTGCACATACTGCCCTCATGGGTTGAGCCAGTGGTACTGACATTATCCTCCCACGTGCAGGCATTTCATATATCAGTTACATTAGGCATCACTGTCAAACCTCACTAACAAAGATTCAGATATAATAAGTATAAGTGAAAATATGAACTATTCTAAACTGACATAATGAGGTGAAATTTAAAACATTTGACAACAGGTCTGTAGAAGCTTACAAGGCTTACAGACTTGGTAAGGGTTACTGCATGCATGATATATTGAACGTTGAAAAGGGGTTTAAAGGAGAGGTCCCCCTTTTTTTTTTTTTTTTGTTTCAAAAGAAATACTGTCCATACGTTAGGTTGTCGGTCACTGCTGTGCTGATACTGTCCATAAGAAATTATCAGCTATTGAAAACTATTTGTATATGGGTGAGTTTTGGATTTAGATAGATTTGAAAAAATCACAGATTTCAGTTCACAGATTCATAGTTTTTGCTGTTAATTTCAGTTAGGGTGAAGAACAAATAACTGAATTCAAGTGTTACCACCACTCACACATTTCCATTTGCTAACTGCATATGTAATGACTTTATCTTTAATACATTTCCTGCCTGGTCAAATAACATTATTTAAAATTTTAATCATGAATCGCACAAATGTTAAATTTACATTTTTTGAAGAATACTGTTTATTTTCATTCACTTGCACAAACGCAGCCATGACATCCATTCTTGATCTAGGCCTTAGTAAATACCATTATTGTCTGGGCAAAAAGAGCTCTTCTCACAATAAAATTACTATTACTCCACCAATCTGAAATCACTGAGAGCGCGAGCTATGAGCAGGAGCACTGATGTGGAAAATCCTCACTTTAGCCAAAGGAATTATAGTGTTTCCTCTGTATGGTATTCACTGAACAGTATGTGGCAGCAGTGCAAAATGCCTGCCTACTACCACCTGTAGGATTTGGTTGATTGCTTAAATGTATAGTGAAAACAGATAACTGATTTAATGTTTACAATTCATGTTTTACTATGACAGAATAACCATAGAAATCACTTTTGTACTGAATCCTGCCATTAAACTAAGAATGCATAAATAAAAATTGAAAAAAAAGCTCCATCACAGCGATGCAACTTTCAGCTGCATTCTTCATAGTTCAGTCCAACAGCAAGAGTACCACCGCTTCACAGTCCAACGCTTTACTCTCTCCCGGCCTTCAGTTTCTCCTCCACTGTGTGATCTCCCTTCGAGCCCCCCATGCAGGGCGGACTCTTTGCCAGGGTGGGGTTGCTCCCCCACTGCTCAGGAGTCTTTGCCTGGATAGCCAGTGCATGAACGCAGCTACTCAACTCCTCCTTCAAAGCCTCATTAACCAGACGGTGGCGCTTTATCAGCGGCAGACCCTCAAACTGCGAGCTGACAACCAGGACACGGAAATGGGATTCAGAGCCAGGGGGGACTGCATGCATGTGGCTTTCATTGTGGACCTCTAAGTGGTCCGGCTTGAGCATGTCGGTCAGTTTGGTTCTTATAGCCCTCTCAACGGGCCGGCTCGGGTCTGGGTCCATGTGTGGTCTGAAGTGGGCCAGAGGCCGGCTTAAGGCAAGACTGGTGGAGATGGGCCGAGCACAGCGGAGGACACTGGGCAGCATCAGAGGTTGTGGCAGGAAACCGCCTATGAAAGCCAGATGGGTATAAAAACAGGTGACATGCTATTTAATGTAATATTCATGTTCATTTTTATTCAACAAGTTGTAACACAACCGTAGCTGTTTAGAGTTATTCTATGTCATGCTTTTGATTGTTAGTTTATCAATTCAGAGTTAGTGCAACAGCACAGTTTTTGTGTTGATATCAGCTTGTCAGTTAAATCATTAGTAGGGATGCTTGAATATACGAGACGAGTATCAGTGCCAAAACTGCCCTATTAAGTGGATCACGTATCGGCCATGACGTGAGCGATCCACATTGCATTCAGTTTCTAATTATAAAATGAATCATTAAAATCTTTCCTCAATTAGTTGGGTTCGTTAAGTCAGAGCAGCCTGCCGACTGAGTTTGAGCTACAGCAATCCCTGACCTCATGTTCCTTACATCAATCAAACTATTAATAAGTTACACAATGAGGTATACGGATTTTAAACTTGGGGAAAAGGGAGCACTGGTATCGGATTAGTACATGGTATCAGCAGATCCCCTGAGTTGGGGTATTAAAATCTGATTCAGGAAAGAAAAAGCTGGATCAGTGAATCCTGACTCGCCTACTGTACAAAATGTAGAGCACCTAAGGGAACCTCTTAAGTAGAAAATAATCCTAATAGTCAGGGGTGCTTTAATACATTAGCCTTCTGACCAGTGTTAAAAAAAAGCTCCATATCCAACCATTTATTGCATTTTTAAGCCACATCTGATTACTTTTTTTTTTTTTTTTACCAGCTAATGCAATCCAATACAACAGCCTTGCAATTACATCTATCTCTAATGAACTATATATTTTTTATGTGTTTGTTTGTTGTTTTTGATAATGTGCAAGAGTGCATCAATTCATATCAAAATGTTTTTAGGCAATTGAGTAGTGACGTGTTTACTGGCCGGTATTGATATATTAGTGTTTCCAACCAACATCTGGTGTAAATCTGGAAGACAAACCAAATAAACCAGTAGACTGAGGATACTGTCATCAAAACATAAGATGTACAGGCTGTACCTAAAAACTGGTCCCCCCAATGATGAGAAGATTTTATTGATCTCTGTTAGGGGGAAATTCTAATAGGCACAGCAGTAAATGGGAATATAGTAAATAAAGAGAATAAAGTACAAGGAAATCTAAAACAAATATAAAATAGATTGACTATATAGAGTAAAAATTTAATATAGTAAGCCTGTGTATATCTGTACATGTGCAATATGTATAAAAACAATTGTGCTGTACAGGTTAAGAGTCTCAGGGCACAGGTGTAGGTGTGTGTGTGTGTGTGTGTGTGTGTGTGTGTGTGTGTGTGCTAGAGCTTTTTCGATGTCCAAGCAAAGCCTCTGAATTTATTATATTATATATTATATTAACTGTAACCTACAAACAAAACCAGATACAGACATAGTTAACCCAGTTAGAAGCTAGCGTTACATAAACTGATATCCTCTGTTCCATCAGAAGTCAAACTGGTGACAGTCGGTAATACCATGGCAGTGCCAGTTTTAATAAACAGCTAAACATTCGTGGTAAACTTCATTCAATTGCCTGCATGTTTGTTAGCCTTAGCTGTTAGCTTTCATAATAAACACCACCCAATATGTAAGCTGAGGCAATGTAACGGAGTATCTACACCGAGCAGCTAAGATAACACATCTATGTGTGTCAACTAATACACGATAATAAGCGTTAAAGCCAACCTGTGAAGTGAATTTAGCCAACTAGTTACTCACCTTGCAAGTAAAGTCAGTTTCGTCCCTGCTACTGTTACGCAAACTCACCGGAAGTGCTCCCACGCACGCTGGGTAGTGTAGTTCTTTACGTGTTGTAGTCCTGTTGTAGTCCTGTAGCAGCATAATGCAGCTGCCGATTTTTAACCATTTGCAGCATGTCTTTTATAGACGTAAAAACAATATTTATAGACATAAATAAATGACAAAAGGTTGATATTTCATATTTTTCCACTTGTTTATTCATCATGGTTCTTTGTCCATTGTGATTCGTAAGGGTCAGTTGTACAGTACAGTGCAAACCCAATCAAAAATCAACAATGAGAAAATATAAGAAAAAATCATCTCACACACCTTTAAACAGAACTGATGTTGTCACATTTAGGCTAACTATGATTCATAACCGGTATTTAACATTGATGTATTTACTTATATTTCATTCTCATTTACAAAATACACAAAATCAAAGACAACATACAGCATTGTTCATTTACACTTCATTTTTTTAATAACTTTTTTTTTCTATTCATGGTTCCACAAACAGTTTCTATACTTACAAACAATTGACTACAGTTTCTACAGCACAGTACAATGACAAAGGTGATAAATTCTTTGTTACATTTAATTAATGGCAATGCAATCTTATTGACAAAAGCTTCAAGACTTAGGGTTGTTTTAGAGAGTACACACAAATGTTAGCTGTTAAGTCCTGTGTCATTATTAAGCCAACAGCATTTTAGTGGACAAGGCCAGCATATAGTAATGTGCTCCAATTCCCAATAGCTTCAAAGAAGAGAATAAGAGACAAATACCCAAACACTTATTGCTTTGTTAACTTTTTGCACTCACGATTGACTGTTGCTCAAGCAACAAGTTAATTATACAAAAAAACCCTGTAACATAAGCTAAGATATGTATCTACGAGAGACAATTTGAGTCAAACTGAGTCACTGAGACAGGTTAGCGCTTTAACAGCTTCCAAGTTGAACAAATACAACAGTTATCTTGACATCGTCGTTCTTAATTTCATGGGTGATACTGGACAACATACAGAGAAGAGAATAGGACTGCTTAGCTTTTATATTTGTACAGTTAATGTGCATTTATATACTATCACTGTGCTTTTAAGAGGAAATGTGGGCAAATTTTGCTTTCTCACTTGCTGGCCATTTTGGCTTCTGAAACCATAATTTCTTGCAGTTTTAAAACAAAATCACCTGGACTCTTAAAGACAAGTTCTCAGATGAGCTGTGAAAAGTCTTCATCACCATAATCAGTCCAGTTGTTCTTGTTTTAATTGATCAATGGCTGAAAACCTCTGTAGTCTGACGTCAAATTTCCAGGGGTCAAAAGGTTTGAAGAGCTATCTTATTAGATACATTATAAGTACTTTTATTTACATATATTCATATCTATAACAGAGAATTGATGGTGTAATGTGTAAACTCAGGCCATACAAAATATTTGGCAATAATTAATGAGATGGCACACTCATAGATAATGGGTCAGATGTCAAATTTGAAGTTAGATCGGTTTGAGACAGAGGGAGTGAAATGCAAAGGGGCAGGTCATCAAAGCTCAAAGCACCTATGTTCACAACTGCACTCATTGTTCACAATCTTGTCATTTGGTAGGTTTTGGTCTTTGTGCTCTTGCTAAACGCTCACCTTGGTCTTCATTAAATCTCTAGCAAGGCTGCATCAGAACGTGTCTTGAAGAACTCAAGGCATTCACAATTGTGCATGTACGACAGTGTACATTTAGTGCAATGGGATTTATTCAACTGTCTTTTAGTCTACGTATGGCTGCTATCCTACAAAATGGCAGTTTGGACGAAAACTTTTTTGTTAATCTGACATGTTAATGATTGTTGTTTTCTTTTTCCATGCAATTGTGAACATATCACCCTTGCTTTTCTAGATCAGGGGGAATGTGGCAATAATTTTCACCAACACTCTGTGCTGTTACCAATGCGGGATATACTGTATGACAATCAGCCCTTGGCAGTGAGTTCTCTACGGTGAATCTCATGTTATATCTAGCTACATCTGTATAATAAAGCACAAGTAAACACAAGATCCCAGTTCACTCATGATCCACACCCTCATTAGCACAATAATCCTTTTCAACTGCAATTAATCCTCACTCTGCAACGTTTTACGTGCCCCAAGGACATACACATCCCAAATTAGGAAAATTTAAAATAGAACAACTTTGTTGTACTCCACTACGTTAACTCTAGGCGCAGTATTTTCCAACATTTTTTTTTTGTTTTTTTTTACAATATTTACTCAGATGCTAAACTCTTTCAGGCTGTCTTAATCCAAGAGTAAAAAACAGGTTAAGCATGTGTAGTATGTTATGACAACATGTTCAGTTATCCATATAAGACAGCTACCACACAACCTTTCACATATCATAATAGTGTTTGCCAAATGTGAAATGCTAAAATACAATAAAAAAAAATCTCAATATTGCACAGAGGTTCAATATTGCACTAAGAAGCACGCTCACATTAATATAAACATTCAGTTCACACAAATAATTATTAGATTATAGTTCATTATCTGCCATCTCTTACACACTTAACACAATTTGTGCCTGCACTGAAACCATCAAAACTGAAAGTGTAGGCTTTTCGTGTAACTTTTTTTAAAATCCTTTTGATTACCTGCTTTTCTTCCACATGTAATAGTATGATTTAAGTCAATAAAGGACATTTTTGTGACCATTCTGTGGAGTGTGCTTTAAGGAGAGTGTGGTAATGCTTATTCAACCTCCGTGGTGACACTGCTACCAACAGCAGAATAAAACTGCTGTCTTCTGTGGATAGGAAATGTAAAAATATTACGGTAACTTAAGCCAGACTAATTGATGAGTAAATGCAACTTGTCCAAAATGATGTTTACATGTTGTACTCTCAGTTTCCGTAAATTTACATACATACTTTGTGACATGCATAACACTCTCCAAAACACATTTTATAAGAGACAAACAAACTGTAAGTCTAAGAGGAGAGGTACTAAAAAGGCATTTCTTACAAAGGGATACACAGTATGATTGAACAAATGGTGATTGAGTGTGATATTCCAAACATTTTCATCAAATCAAGAAAATATTAGGGACATTCACACCGGCAAATGGTTGTGCTTAAAATGTACGATTTAACAAACAGCTTCATGTTTGTGATGAAATGGCAATCATGACACAGCACAAAATGTTTACTTGGCATGGGAAACATATCCATTAGCTGATTTAAATGATCTCAAGGTTATTTGGAAGTGACCAGAAACAATGTTTTAAAGGGAGAAGGGGCTTGATTGATCTTCACATTCTAAAAACAACAAAAGCAAACCTGGAATGTTCTATAATCTATAAAATGGCAGTTAGTCTGTACACCAACATAAGACCTCAGGAGAAAAAGAATAAGGACAGGTCATTGTTTGAGAGAAAGCCAAGAGAGCTTTGTCTTGGTTTTACCCTGCAAAGTCAAAAACGCTTTAAATCAAGGCGTAAAATGTCGCATTTTTGATTCTATGTCCAACAATGTACTCAAGACTTGACAGGTGAGTTGAATTTGCTCAGAAGAATGGAGGTGACTATAGAGAACAATGGCTAGTGGTCATTTCTATGAGTCTATTTGCATGGCTCATTATCAAGAGCCCCCATTCCCTGACCTCCAACCCCAGCTTTATGTTCTAATATTGGGGGGACCAAATCTAAATTTACTATGATATTCCAGGGGAATGAAACATCAAATTTTATTTTTTGCCTCATGTTTTGGCACCAATTCTGAGCAATCATCAACTATTTGTCTCAGCTCAATGGTTATTCAGTCAGTTTATTCATTCTAATGGTTGTCAAAGCCTCGTTCTTGATAGCATGGAGAGGTACCTATCAAATAATCACCAATCCCAAATATTTACAGCAAATTTATGTCACTCTTCTGTGTTGTCTTGTCAGTATGTGCACACACTTTACTCTATCATGATGAGGGAGGGGTTAGAGGGTAGGATTTGGAGGACTCTTAAGCTGTTCATTCACAGTGTGGCAAAAACTCTTCTGTCCCCCGGAAAGTTGTTGGCGCCACACTATTGCAGCACCTGACCCCGCGTCTCTGGAAGTTTGAGCGCCAGAAAACTGCCAACCGCGAGTGCCCCCGAGGCAAAGAGGATGGGCACAGCCTTGGTGATACCAACGAACGAGGTAAAGATGCTTATTCCTAAAACAGCCGCTAATTTACAGAGAGCGTTGAGGAAGCCAAATGCTGTGGTTCTGAGAAAAAAGAGGGTACAGATTACAGAGTCAAAGTCAGGCAACCAAAGGAGTAAAGCAGTTATACAGCAACAACACTGATCTTTTCTTCCTGAAATGACCTGTTAAGGTTAGTTTCAGAACCTTTCTTTCCTTTTTTCGTTGTAAAGGCTGCAAGGACAGCGATGGACCACAAGGTGGAGCTACATCCTTTAAAATTAAAACTCAAAAGCTGTTCTCACACTGAATACAGAGGGGCAACACAAAAGATACATGTTTTTGCTTTGGTTAAATGTTTAAATTATGTTACACACAAATAGTCATATTCTATTTTATATTAGGTTGCCTTTCAACAAATAAATCAAAGTAGGATTTACATACTCAGCTATTTAAGGTTGGACCCAAAAAAACTAAAAGCACACCCTACTAAACCCATTAGGTGGCAACAAGACAGCTTTATGCTTTACATCACATGCACTACTAATGATTTCACCCCACAATGTCATCCATCCCTGCAAGCCGGCCAATCATTGCAAGGCAACTCTCATGACATCATTCAACACGTCATTCAGCACCACTGACCGTGTCTTCACACTGTCAAGGAGATATCAGGGCATGCCTAAATTGCCTACCTCTTGTCAGAAGGGTAGAGTTCGACAGTCAGCACATCCAGGGCGTTCCAGGAAGCTATGCTGATTCCCCCAAACAGACAGAGCAGAGCAATCATGGCTGACTCGCTGTTGCCAAAGGACAGGAAGAAACAGCTGATGCAAGAGATCACACTGGAGCCCGCTGGAGAAAAAGAGACGTGGAGGAAAAGAGTGATATAT